CAATATACTCACAGAAAAGAGTGACTAAGAAAACTTTATGGGTATTGACCCATGTCACTTTAGTTTTGTGTATTTCACTGTACATAAATTATATTTCAGTAAAATGCATGGAAAAAAAAACTTTCTGGGCACTGGAACTCTCCTTTCTCTGACTTTCGGCCCATCCTCTGTGCCGATGTCAAATGATTTCTTCAAAGGATACACACACCAAGTGTCTTGGTTCTCTAGTGCTGCTATAACAGAAATACCTCAAATGGATGGCTTTAACAAACAAGATTTATTCTCTTACAGTTTAGAAAGCTAGAAGTCCAAGTTCAAAGTGCTGGCTCTAGGGGCTGGGTGAGGGCCCCTCGGCCTTGGGCTTCAGCTCTGTCTCCTATTCCAGGCCCACTAGAGCTGGAGGCTTTTTCTCACTCATACAGCTGCTGGCTGCTGAGGCTCAAATGGCATAGTCCCAATATTATCAGACAATACCACAAGCCAGTAGTTCAAGTCCAGGAATACTCCCAAGATTAGCAGGCAACATGGCAGGCCACTGAGATGACTCAGCAAAATGCAGGATCCAGATGTGCCAAAAAGCTCAAGACCTTTCTCAAAGCTTCTCCTTATCTACTGGAAGCAGTCCGCACCTGGAAGGCAGCTACCTAGCTGCTCACAACAGATTTCACCATGGAGTTGATTACCAATCTCATCATGGAGAATAACTACATCCAGCTGCCCAGCCACTCAAAACCAGGCCCAACCAAGTTGACACACAACCTTTACTACCACACCAAGTTTCACCTTTTTGTACATCCTCTTGCAATCTTACCTGACTGCTGGAGAGGCTAACAGAGATTTAAGATTGCAACAGAACCTTTTTGATACAGTGTAAGCAAAAATGAGGAATTTCTTTACTATGAGGATATTTTATGAAATCCAAGAACAAGAAAGTAGCTGGTCTTAAGAAAGTCTGAAATGTCTTCAGTCCCTCCATCTTTATATTTCTTCCTCCTTAGTAGACTACTCTGAGTATAAGGTGGGCAGAAGATGGCCGGCTCAGAGTTCCTAAATCACTCAGAGAGACTAATTTTCTTTCTCAGTCCCTTATCAAATTTCCAGGGAAGGAATTTGATTGGCTAGCTTGGGTCAGGTGATCATCCAAGGTCATTGGGTCACATTGAACAAATATGCCTGCTGGCACCCACAAGGACAAATAATGGGACAGTTAAGGGAATCTTGTTATCACAATTAAAGGTTGCCCCCCAAAAGAGGTTCATGTTAGCCTCTCCATGGTTTTCTGAGGCTGCTCTTTTGCCTGCATATCCAAAGACTTCCTGGTAGACCACAGAACTTTCTAGCTCTTGCCATTTTTGAGGATGACAGTTCACTCTGAGCCAGAGAGAAAGGCTGATGTTGCCATGCCCTGCCCAGGCCAGTATCAAGACAAGCCTGAAGGGTTGTGGAGGAAGCCAAACTGAGTGGCCATCTTTGAGAACAAGAAGCAGGGTTTCACGGTAAAGTTTGCATTGTCTGAAGGTGATCTGGCTCTGTATGACATCTGGGAAGAGATGATCATGTTTGGTAAATGGGGACTGCATGTGAGGGGCTAGAAGCCTACTGCACTCGCAAATTGGGGTCCCCACAGTGGGGCAGAGTTGAGGAGAAGAGGCCATTTGTGGTAGGGTCTACAGCCCAAGTTGCACATTGCTTTGGCTCAGCTCCTACATTTGAGAATCCACAGACCAATGCTTCACATGGTCCAATTTGCACTGAAGGTTCTATAAATTTATTGTATGTTATTAATTAAAAAAAAAAAAGTTTGTAGAACATTCTAGAAACCTAGAAGACCACAAAGAAGAAAACAATAATAACTCAAAAACTAATCACTGTTAACATCTTAGGGCATATGCTTCCAGTTAGTTTTTTTTTTTTTGTTTGTTTTTAATAGCAGATTCTGGTGGTTTTCTTCTTCTTCTTCTTTTTTTTTCAAAAATAGGATTATACTGAATAAACTGTTGTGAAGCTTACTTTTCTCACTCAACAAAACGAAGTACTCTTTCCCATGCACTTACATGTTTTTTTGTAACAACATCTCTGCAAATTGACTCACTGGCAGTGGGTTTTTGTTTCTGCAAGCTTGGATGGTAGGTGGAGGAAAATGCTGACAACATTTGTGGCTTTCAGCGGAGCCCTGAGGAGCTGCAGCTTCTCTGTTGTCTCTTTTCCCATTGATATAATTATGGAATGTCTTCCTCACATCACCCTCATGCTCACCCCTATAGCCATCCTGAGGGCAGGTCCTTGCTCCTGCATGTTGCTAGCACCTCAAGCCTACGTCATGCTGCATGGGTTCACTGCAGTCACCCGCCGGGGAAGCTGCATGGGGCACATGCACCACAGATATATAGATGCTGGCAGACTTCCTGCACTGGCTCCTCTCCACCCATGGTTGCCCCATCTACCCCACCTGCCTCTTCATTGTTCCTACTTCCTCTCTTCTCTGCTTTGCAGGGTTTCACCCAGTGGTTGCAGAGGGATATTCTTTGGAGCTGACCCAGCACAGGAAATCATCAGGTAACATCAACCACAAAAATAACAACCACTTATGGTGTTCTCTTTCTAAGTGATATAATAAGTATTACAGACATTGAGTGTAATTTTTGCTGCAACTCTGTAAGCCAGATAGGATTATCCTCATTTTATAAATAGAGACACTGAGGCTCAGGGTAGTCAAGAGTAGTACTGAGGGTTACACAGCTGATAAAGGGCTGACTGAAGATTTGAACCCAGGATTGGTTTCAGTCCAGTGCTATGCACTATCCTCTACCACACACTGCCTCTGGAACTAAAGAGGTAGTGTGTAGAAAGGACATCTTGGGGCTATAGAAGGACAGAAGAAGTTATCTAAGCCAATGATCCTTTCTCTACTGGGAGGCATGGCTAGGCTGTGGGGATAAGACTCTCCCACAGAGTTTGTTAAAAAATAGGGGTTCAGAGCTCATCTCCTAGAGATTGTGTTGCAGCACATTTGGGGTAAGGACTGGGAATTTGTATCTTTAAAAACTCCCCAAATGACTGGGAAACAGCCAGCCTTGGGAAGTGCTATGAAACATCAGCAGGTACAGATAATTCTCATTATTTACAGTATTTGTGTTCTATAAAGTTGCTGTGAACTTTGAATTAGTGAATACTGAACCATTGCTCCAGGAGAAATACAGGGTTAGATTCCTGTGAGCCTCTGGCCACGGCTTTCTATCAACTGACAGATACACAACTTTCTTTCATCTGTATTTCTGTTTCACAACCCTTGTTTAATATACATTGTCGATTTATTAACATTAAACTCACAGCCAACAACACTATATATAGCTCATACCTGAATAAAGTTCATCTCATACCTGTATTTTCTCCATTACACACATCAGTGCCTTCCTGCACTTAGGAACACCAGACAGCATTTTGGAACTATACTTGGTGGCCATTTGAAACATCACAACCACCAGCAAAACACAAACATCCAAAAAATGTGGCACTAAATAAACCTCAAGAAGAACACTTGTTTGTATACGAGAGGTGGGTAAAACAAGAAGGCAGGCTGTCACATCATTCAACCTCAGCTGAGAACATGCATTATCAGGCAAACTATGTTTTTTTGCCACTTTGCACGTATCCACAAATGACTGTGAAAGCACCATGAGTTTTGGTTTTGGGGGAACTTAGTGAGGAGGCCAATTCACAAATACAGAATGCATGAATAGTAAGGACCAACCATACTTCGCATTTACCAGGCACACTTACCATTCATCATAATCTAATAAGGCAAATACTATTATCCTCATTTTAAAAGCAGCAATAGCTCATGAACCACTGCCTCCTTTAACGTGAGAACAGAAGAACAGGATGGTGCCCAGCTACCATTACTGAACATTTTGATCAGATTCTGTAGAAGAATTCTGACTTCAGTGGGGAAAATGCAAAACAGAATTTCAAATTCTCATGGAATCCAGAGGTTTTGGAGCCATGGAGTCTGGATGAATCCCTGAAACTATTGTCCTGAAATAATCATTAAATTGTAAACCAAAAATATCCCCCTGAGCCTCCTCTAAACCCAGTGATAGTTTAGCTTAACTAGTAAAGAATGTCTTCCTTAAGCACTGTGCTCTTTTACAAGTTATCTCTATGGGATCAAACTGACAACAGCAACTTGAAAGATTAAATAGGAAATGTAGGGGCAGTGGGTTTATGTTAATGAAGGAAGAACAACACAGAAAAGGAGGGTGATAGAGGTTGCACAACTCAAAGAATGTAATTAGTGTCACTGAATTGTACATGTAAACATTGTTGAATTGGTGTATGTGTTGATGTATGTATTTTCAACAACAGCAACAAAGTAGAGGGTGGAGCACAGAGGTTAAGAATTTTGCACAAAGTAACACAGCTCAAAAAAGATAAAGTGGAGATTTGACCAGAGTCAGTGCTCATCTGCCACCTGCAGCCAGGACACCTTCCAGTTGAGCTTCAGGCAAAGCACCTCTATTGCTTACCCTGGCCATGACTTTTATTGCCTCAGAGCATGAAGAATGTATTTGCATACTCAAATTCAAAGATGAGGAACCCTTAATATTTAACTTTGGAAGTTTGATGGCCTCATGTTTCTTCTCTGAACAGGAGCATAACAGAGGGCAAATAGCACAGACAGAGTTCTGGCTCATCCAGGAGATCAACACACCATCTCCTCACACTATGTCTTTGGAAACAAGAAGCAACTTCCTTACTCCAAGAGTAGGGGGTGGTGGGAGAAAGGGTCCCTTCTGGAGCCCTCAGTTTTTGAGTTTTTTTTTTTTTTTGTCATTTTGGGGCAAAACCAAGGCAATTCCAGGATTCTGTTGCCTTCTGGTCCTGTAACCCAGCTCTCTGTTCTCCTAGTGTGACCTTAAGCTACAAACCTGCTGTCCACGTGGACTGGGGCTGACATCTCACGTCCATCCACCAGGACACCTGTGTCCAGACTCCGAGACATGGCAACCAATGGCAGCAAGGTGGCTGATGGGCAGATCTCCACCGAGGTCAGCGAGGCCCCAGTGGCCAATGACAAGCCCAAAACCCTGGTGGTCAAGGTACAGAAGAAGGCGGCAGACCTTCCAGACCGGGACACATGGAAGGGCCGCTTTGATTTCCTTATGTCCTGTGTGGGCTACGCCATTGGCCTGGGCAACGTCTGGAGGTTCCCCTATCTCTGTGGGAAAAATGGCGGTGGTAGGTATCAGCCTGGCAACCTTCAACTGGTTCTGGACCCCACAGAGGAATATCCCACTTAGACGTTTGGTGGGGGTGACCATAGAGGGAAAGCCCCCATCCAAATGGAGCATCAGGCCCCATTTCTTGCTTCTTTTTGCACTTTTCCCAGATTTCCAAAGGGAAATGACTCAGTTGTGAAGGCATTGATGCCAAGTTCATGGCAACCCTATGTGTCAGAGTAGAACTGTGCTCTGCTGGGTTTTCTAGTGGCTGATTTTTCAGTAGATCACCAGAACCTTCTTATGAGTTGCTTCTGTATGGGTTCAAACCTCCAGCCTTCTGGTTAGCAGTGAGTGCCTCAACTGCACCACCCAGGGATTCCTACAAAGGGTGATTAGAAAAACCAAACCTGTTACTGTTGAATTGATTCTGACTCATGGTGACCCCAAGTGTAAAAAGGGAGTAGCCCTCAATGATTCTAAAAAATTCATCTCATTTCTTAAAATACAGGGGCATATTTTGTGCATAGCCTGTCTTTGGGGCTCAGTTTGGCTTTAAGTGCTGGATTTGAGGCAGGATATAAGGAAATCCTTGATGGGACCCCGGAAACCACAAGGTTTCTCCAAAGTCTTGCATCCATGAATATCTCTTTTCTCCCCCCAGGGGCCTTCCTGATCCCTTACTTCTTGACGCTCATCTTTGCGGGGGTCCCACTCTTCTTGCTGGAGTGCTCCCTAGGCCAGTACACATCCATTGGGGGCTTGGGGGTGTGGAAGCTGGCCCCCATGTTCAAGGGTAAGTCCATGGGCACACAGGTTCAGAGGGAAGCCTGTTGACCTCCAGGTTCAAGGGGAAGCCTCCTGGCCCCCAGGTTAGAGGGGAAGTCCACCAGCCCCCAGGTTTGAAGGTACGTTGGGATCCTGATGGCATTTCTGCCACAGATCCATGGGCCTCTGAACACCTCTGGCACCCCTGGAAATAGGGAGCCTTTTTGTTTACATCTGTGCAGGCTGGAGGCTGTTGCAAGGGGCCAAGTGACAGATGATGGTGACCAGAAACTAAGGCGTTGGTGGTGGAGGTGGGAGGAGGGGTCCATTCCAGAGTATTGGCCCCCATGCCCCTATCAGTCTGTCTTGTCAGCTCATTTCCAGTAAGGGCTAGGATCAGTTTTCTTTGCTTGCACCTAGAATCTTTCCTGGAATGCTCTCCCATGGACTCGTGAAGGATCATGTTAATGAACTTGAGTGCTTGAGCCCCACACTGCTGGGCCAGTCCCAGCCTCAGTCCTACCTCAGCTAGACTATGTTGGGCCCCGGACACAATCCTGGCTCCATTGTCAGATGGATGTGACCTTGGGCAAGTCACTACCTCTCTCTCAGCTTCTTTGTCTTCCAGATTGCCTGTCTCCAAGGTCCAGTGAGGTCATGGACATTGAAGAAATTTATGAAAATGATACCTAATCAGACAGTGATTGTCATGACACTGATGATGGTTTACCCCCCTCCCAGGTGTGGGCCTTGCTGCTGCTGTACTCTCCTTCTGGCTGAACATCTACTACATCGTCATCATCTCCTGGGCCATCTACTACCTGTATAATTCCTTCACCATGGTTAGTTGCCTTTGGCCCACACTCTCCAAAACGAACCTACTCAAACCCCCTTCTAACCACAGTGACTGCCATTCTGCTGAGCTGGGTGCTTCTCTAGGGTGAGCATAGTGGCCCTTCTCTCTCCAAAGCAGTCATAGCCACAGTAATGTGAGTACCTAGTAGGCACTGAGACAGGCACTGTGTCTGAGTTTAACATCTAATCTTCACAACACCCTCTAAGAGGGTATTTTTAGTCCCATTTTATATGGACCCAGACCTCCTGGGTTTGAATCCTAGCTCTACTGCACACCAGTTGTGTTGCCTTGGGAAAGAGCCATAACCTTTCTGAGCCTCTGTGCAACCTTTATAAAATGGGAACAAAAATTAAACCCACCTGTCTTAGTCTCCTAGAGCTGCCATCACAGAGTGCCATAAGTGGCTTTACAGAAGCAAAGTTTATTGTCTCACAGTTCTAGAAGCTAAAAATCCAAATCAGGGTTTCAGCCTTGTTGATTCCTTCTAAGGGCTCTGAGAGAGGAGCTGCCCCATGCCTCTCTCCTAGCTTTTAGTGGCTGTTGGCAGGCCTTGGTGTTCCTATCTGCTTGTAGGTGCATCTGGACATAGTGCCTTCCCCTTGTGTGTGACTCTGTTTCCATATCTGTCACCTCTTTTATAAGATACCAGTCAGAAGGGATTAGGAGTAGGACTAACCCTATCCTGGTATGACCTCATTTGATTTTAACTGATAACAAAAGAGAAACCCTACTTATATACAAGGTCACATTCACAGGTACAAGGGTTAGGGCTTCAATTATCTTTTTGAAGACACATTTAATCCATAACAATACCACACGAGGTTTTTGTGAGGATGAAGACATAAATATGTGTACAGTGCTTAGAGGCAAGGAACATGTACCGTGTTTGCTGTTGTCACCATTGTACAAGTAAGGAAATAGGATCAGAGAGCTGGAGTCTCTTACTCAAGGTCACATAGCTGAAATAGCCCCAGGAAGGACACATGAGACCATATGATGCAGCTTGAAACCATGGTTCTTGGAGTGAGGTCAGAGTTCAAATCTCAACTCTGACACTTAGTAGCTGTGTGATCTTGAGCTCTCTGATCTATTAAATGAGGATCATAGTACTACCTGCCTCCCTGAGCAGTTGGGAAGTGGAGGTAGATACTGGCTTTGAGAAGGCTCTGGGGTTGTGTGTGTGAATGGGAGTGTTGAGACTGCTGTTGCCAGCCCCCAGGGCTCAGTGGGGCTTATCTGTGTGGCTGTGTTCTTGCAGACTCTGCCATGGAAGCAATGTGACAACCCCTGGAACACAGACCGCTGTTTCTCCAACTATAGTATTGTCAACACTACCAATATGACCAGTGCCGTGGTGGAGTTTTGGGAGTGAGTAGAGGCCCAACCGTGAGTGGGTTGGGCTGGGGATGTATCCACTGAGACCAGCAGGAGAAGACAGGACAGGAATGAGTAATGGAAGAGTCTAATGAAGGGGCTGTTGGAGATGTTTGAGCAGAGTTAAGGCAGCCATAAAGGATGGTGATGCTGTTTTCTCCTGCAGGCCTGGAGGGGCTGGGAAGGGAGCTGTCCTGGAACACTGAAACAGCTAGGACCACTAGAGAAGGAGTCACTAGATAAAAGCTGTGGCCTTCAGTAAAGAAGCCCAGCTACAGACAAAGCCCTGGAACAGGGAGTATAAATAACTCTGGCCTCTCTCTTCTTGCCTTCCCATTTCCTGCCAGTGCCTCCCATTGGTCAAACCCAACTGGAAGCCAGAGGGCAAAGGAGGCAGTGATTCAGCCCTAGAGGTCAGCCTGTGGGGCACAGGGCAAGGAGAGCATGGTGGAGCGGAGACCTAGAGGGGGAAATGGAAAATAACTAGCGCAGGTGGCCAAGAAGCATTGCCAGCAGAGGCCAACAAACCCCCAATTCATCCTGAAAACCTGTCAACCTGCTGATAAACTCAGAGTCACTTGGAATAAATACTCACACATATGCAATACACACCACACACACACAGACACCCCTGCACATATGCTGTTCCCTTATAAATGGGAATCCCATACTATTCTGGCTGATCCTGCTCTTCAGCATCTCCCACATATGGCCTCCTCACATGATCAGGCTTTCCATTCATTCATTTGTCCAGTAAACATCTCTTGAGCACATACTGTGTACCAGTCTTACTATAAACTTAAATAAATATATAGGCAGTGGTAATGCTAGGTGATTGGTGCTAAAGAGGAAGATACAGGAAGCTGTGGGAGTCCCAAGGACCCACCTGGACCAGCCCAGGTAAGGAGGTGGCATCTAAGGGCAAAATATAATTTAGGGAGGACAGATGTTGGCAGAAGAAAGCAACCCAACCCACAGCCATTGACTCGATTCTGACTCATAGTGATCCTATAAGACAGAGTAGAACTGCCCTATAGGGATTCCAAGACTGTAAATCTTTATAGAAGCAGATGGCCTCATCTTGCTCCCATGGAACAGCTGGTAGGTTTTAACTACTGGCCTTTTGGTTAGCAGCCGCAGGCTTTAACCACTGCAACACCAGAGCAGATGTGAAGGCTTGGAGGCAGGTGAGAGGAGCAAGCCAGGTACCTATGAGTGGATAGAAAGTAGCTTAGTCTGATGAGGGTTTGTGGGGGTAGAGACTGTGGTCAGAGGGGAGACGAGAGGGGCCAGCTCTTGAACATCCTGAAGGTCAGCCTGTGTGTCTGAGCTTCGTTCTGAGAACAACAAGGAGTTATCCGTAGATTTTAAGCAGAGGTGCACATGATCAGATTTGCAATTTAGAACAATCCCTGGGGGCTGGTGTGGGGATAGAGGGGCCAGAGCAGAGACGAAGGCAGTGGTCCTCTAAGAAATGATTGCAGCACTACAGGTGAGCAATAATGCCATAATGATGACTGGACAGAGGCAGTGGCAGGTCCTGTTTGTGTGTTCTTTTTCTTTTTTTTTTTTGCTTTAAGGAATAGAATTTTATTTTCTCAGAGCCTGGAGGCTAAACGTCAAAATCAGGGTCTCAGCCATGTGGATTCCTTCCTTATTGGTAGCCTGCACCTTCCTTGGTTGTTAGGCATGTAGACAGTCCTCATATGGCGTCTATTCCCCTGTATATGTGTCTGTGTCTATTTTTTTTTTTTTTTTAACAGTTATTGTGGTTTGAGTGAAAGTTGACAGAGCAAATTGGTTTCCCATTCAACAACGTATACACGTTTAGTTTTGTGACATTGATTATAATCCCCTCAATGTAACAGCACTCCTCCCACTTCCTTCCTGAGTTCCCTATCTCCATTTGTTCATCCTTCTTGCCTTCTGAACTTTGTTTTTGAGCAAATCCTGCCCTTTTGGTCTTGAATGTATGGTTGATTGTTCTGAGGTGCACACGCTTTATGGGTGTTCTAGTTTACTTCATCACCCTGTCTATTGTTTGGCTGAGGTAGGTGTAGTTCCAGGTTTGAATGGTGCCTAAGGGCCACAGTCTTGGGGGTTCCTCCAGTCTTTATTAGACCAGTAAGTCTGGTCTTTTTTATGATTTTGAATTTTGTTCTTAAGTTTTCTCCCACTCTGTCCAAGAAAGTCCTCTTTTTTGATCTCTTACCCAAATTGCACTTTCTACCGATTAGTATAATGGGTCCCACAGTCCCTCTCCATCTCTTGAAATCACAGTGATTACAGTTAGCACAGCCACAGTGGGGATTATTGTCCATGCCCAAGTCTTGGGCATTTCCAGGTCACTCCAGCTCCCACAAACTCCAGTGACTTTCCTTCCTCCATCATTCAACCAGGCGCAACATGCATCAGATGACAGACGGGTTGGATAAGCCGGGTCAGATCCGCTGGCCACTGGCCATCACTCTGGCCATCGCCTGGATCCTTGTGTATTTCTGTATCTGGAAGGGTGTTGGCTGGACTGGAAAGGTAAGGGGTGTACACAGGAGATGGGAAGACACTGGTTGGGGGAGGGGTTTACAAAGGGATTTCTGCTCTGGGCAAGGACTCTACATCACACACACACACACACCATCCAACTTTTAGTTAAGCAGGTCCTTACATCACACTGTGCCTGAGTTTCCTTTCCTGTAAAATGGGAATAATAACATTACCTCTCTCTCAGGTGGTTGTAAAGATAAAAGGAAATAATGCTTGCTAGGTACTTATCATAGTGCTGGGCTCATAGTAAGTTCTGTAATATTCTACCAGGCCTGACAGAGCAAAAAAAAAAAAAAAAAAAAAACTCCAACCAATCTCACTGCCCTCGAGTCAATTCTGACTCATAGCAACCCCCTTTGGATATCCAAGGCGATAAATCTTTACAGAAGTAGATTTCCCAGTTTTTCTTCTGCCGAGTGGCTGGTGGGTTTGAACTTGAACTTCTTATTAGCAGTCAAGTGCCTTAGGCACTATGCCACCAGAGCTCCTTGACAGAGCAAAATAGAGAACAAATTTTGCTCAAGGACCATTGACCAAACTTTCCCTGAGTATCAACTCTTGTGCTAAGCCTTTCCTACGTGCTGAAAATGCAGACTCAGAAAGTTCACATCCCAACCTTTGAGGAACAACAGAGGTGGATAGGTTAAGTGTTAAATATTCACACTGTATTAAAACATCCCCAGGCCCAAATCCCTATTCACCAGCCACTGTCTATGTGACCTTGGGCAAAGCACTTCACCTCCCCGATATTCAGTTTTCTCCTATATAAAACAGACTGATGATTATGCTTGAGTCAGAATCAACTGGATGGCAGTGAGTTTAGTTACTGTTTTATTATGAGAATCAAATGAGATGGTAATTTTATACAGCACTTGACACAAAGCAAGCAGAGTTGTTTTTATTTTTATAATTGGCAAGTGTTGAGCAATGCTATGCTGGGTGTCTGGTCTGGGGACACATGGGGAGCCCATAAATCAGACTTAGGGACACTGGCTTCAGTCCTCATGGCTTTTGCCTTTCAAGCACCACCCCAGGAGTCTGGGGACAGAAGTTGGCTGAGTCTCTCACTGACCTTAAAGAAAATTCAGAGAAAGCAGGTGTGTTGTCTGAGGTCTTACATCAGAGATGGTATTTGAAATGAGTATGGCTAGAAGCAGGGGGCTGATACAAGGTTCTAAAAGAGGTAGTGGAAACAGAACCTTAATGAATTCCACACTAGGCATGGGCACAGCTAATGAAAAGCTGCCCTATCTAAGGTGGTAGAAACTTCACCCCCACCAGGTCCTTTGATCTGAGGCTGGTGTCAAAACATCTCTGATCTGTCCCTAGGACTAGAAAGACAGGAGGAGGGCATAGATATCTTCCAGCCCAACTTTAAGAAGCAGGAGAGTATAGAATGTAAGAGATTTGGAAGAGAAAGAAAACTGAATTTGAATCTCAGTCCTCCAATTCCTAGCTGTGTGTGCTTGAGCAAGTCACTTGACTCTCTGAACCTCAGTCTTCTCGTCTGTCTAATGGACACAATAAGTTTACCTTACGGGTTTGTTATGAAAATCAAAGGGGATAATCCATGAAAGTGCTTAGTATATGCCTGGTACATAGTTGACATGCAATACAGGGTATCTGTTGTAATCATTTTAGGGTGTTATCTAGAGTTCCTGCTACATTAGGAGACTGATCACTTCTTGGGGACAGAGTAGGGCCCCTCTCATTGCATCTTTTGAGTGAGTCATACAATCTATCAGCAAACTTTCATTGAGCAACTACTGGGTACCTCAGTCCATGCTGAACGTGGAAGATACAGGGAAATATAAGACACAGCATTAAACTTATAATATAAGACCTGTATTAAACTTATTGTATGCCCTTATGTGAACAACTTTCTGAGTAGCAAAGATGATTGCTCCCATTTTCCAGATGAAAAAAAGCAAGGCTCAAAGAGGGTAAGAAATTAACTCAAAGTCATATAACTTGTAGATGACCCAGATGGCTTTAAACTCCCTTTTCTTAATCCCAAGTACAGTGAGTCTTCTGGAAATCATGGCTGCATATCCTAATCCTAAGGAAACTCAGAGTCAAGTGGGGGAGATGAAGCTAATCCAGAGAACAATTCATGCTGGGTCACATTAAACTCTGTGACACTAAGGTTATTGAACCTGGAAATTTCTCCTTCATAATACTGAGCAAAGAAAGGCAATGTCAGGCATTTAAAGCAGTCTTTTACTAATCAGTTTGGCAAAAAATACTTCTAAAAATAAGTAGACTTAATGCTGGCACCTGTGCAGTGAAGGTCCCCACCTGTAATGCCAGAGGAAGTCCAAATTTTGGAAAGTAATTAGGCAGTGTCAATCAACTGCTTTTAAGTTTATTCCTTTTTGCTGAAAAATTTCACTTCTGGAAAATTGTCCCAAAAACAGAATAACAATTTTGTGGATAAATATTTATGTACAAGAATGTCCAATGTAATATCATTTAGATTTACATAAAATTGGAAGTACCCTAAATGGGTAACAATAGGGAATGTCTGGAAAAAGATGGAGCCTTCTGAGGGACTATTTTGTATAATTAAAAATCATATTTTTAATGACACAGTAGAGCAATGTTTAACAAACAAAGCAAACAAAAAATTATAGTGTGTTTTTTAACTTGAAGCATGTAAAATGAAAAGTAACAAAATTACATAATTTGAGCCTCATTTTGTAAAAAAAAAAAAAAAAAAAGTGGTCCTCTATGCAAAGGAAGTCTCAAAAGAAGTAATGTTAATATTCAAACATTTATTTATTCATCCAACAATTGAAAAAAGCCTCAGACCCTTTGCCACAGAGTTAATTCTAACTCATAGTGACCACATGTGTTACAGAGTAGAACTGCTCCATAGCATTTTCTTGGGTATAAATTTTAGGGACCCAGTTCTCAGGCCTTTGTTTCATGAAGCTGCTGGATGGGTTCTAAATAGATCTTTGTTCTGCAGTGCTGATGTGTGGGTTTGAACCACCAACCATTAGGTTAGCAGCCAATCATGAACAGCTTGTGCCACCCAGGAACCTTATTCCTCCAACATCCAACGTTTGCCGTCTACTATGTACCATGGACTGTTCTAAGCACGAGGAGTGTGAAAAAGACAACCTCTGTCCCTCATGTAACTTACTTTCTCTGGGCTGAATGGGATTTTAATTGTGTGTGTATGCATTCATATTTACTTTTTAATTTTTTCTATCACCACATATATTACTTGGATAATTTAGCACAGATTTTTAAAAAAGAAAAAAAAAAATAGGAGGGAATAAGGGAAAAGGAAAAATCAGGTGCTGAACTGGTTGGTTCAGATTCCAACTAGAGACTTCAGAGAAGTGGCCAATCAGAGTAGGCTGGGGAAATCCAGGTAGGCTTTCCGGAGAAAGGAGACCTGGAACTAAGCCCAGAGTGATAAGGGATGGATGTGGTAAAGTGGGGGAAGAAGAAATAAGGGTATTTTGGAGGGGGTGACCCCATCACCTACTTTCCTCCCAGGTGGTCTACTTCTCTGCCACGTATCCCTACATCATGCTGATAATCCTGTTCTTCCGTGGAGTGACGCTGCCAGGGGCCAAGGAAGGCATCCTCTTCTACATTACACCCAACTTCCGCAAGCTGTCGGACTCTGAGGTGAGCTGCCCTGTCAGGCTCTGGGCCTTGGAGGGTTCTGGAGGGGTAAGAGCAAAGCTGACTCCTGAGCTACCCCCGACCAGCTTTGTGGTTCAGGACAACTACCTGAGGCCATTCTTCCTGTATAAACGGAGGTTGTTGCTAGGTAGAACTGTTTGTTGTTGTTGTTGTTATGTGCCATTGAGTCAGACCTGACTCATAGCGACCCCTCCTTGGTTTTCCAAGGCAGTATCCCTACGGCAGTAGATTGCCCCATCTTCCTTCCGAGGAGTAGCTGGTGGGTTTGAACTGCCAGCCTTCTCCTTAGCAGTCAAGTGCCTTAGGCATTACGCTACCAGGTAGAACTGGTTAGTCCATGTAAACAGACCTGGGGATTTATTGCTATGATTATTATTTAGACTATTTTTGAAAATTCTGTCCACAGGTGTGGCTGGATGCAGCTACCCAGATCTTCTTCTCCTATGGCCTGGGCCTCGGATCCCTGATTGCTCTTGGAAGCTACAACTCCTTCCACAACAATGTCTACAGGTGGGAGAGACCACCTGGCCTCCTGGCCATGCCCTTTTGAGGCCACACCCCTTGACCACACCTCCTCTGTTTTTTCTCCTCTATTCTGTCCCCTTTGGGCACTTTGCCCTCTCAGTTGAATGCTTCCCTGAGCCAACCCCACTTGGTCACTCCTGATTCTACCCCTTCTTTGACCTGATTCTCCTGGCTCTGCCTTCCTCTGGCCTTACTTCTCAGGCATGCCTTTCTGGGGCCACCCCTGCCCTGTAGCCTAGTCCCCGCTGCTCTCCCTGACTCCTGCTGTTGCTCCCTCCAGGGACTCCATCATCGTCTGCTGCATCAATTCGTGCACCAGCATGTTTGCAGGATTTGTCATTTTCTCCATCGTGGGGTTCATGGCGCATGTCACCAAGAGGTCCATTGCTGATGTGGCAGCCTCAGGTCAGCACTGCACCATAGGGCCCAGGGCTCCTGGGGAGGGGGAATGAACTGGGCTAGCATTTATGTTGTCATCATCACCACCATGACACAGGTATTTACCCTTAGGACTCGATGGCAGTGGGTTTGGTTTTGGTGTGACATGGTAGGCAATGCTTTCAGCATTTTACAAAGACTGTAGCACTGACTATTCCCAGCACTATGAGTAGATGCTATTGTTACACTCATACCATAAATAAGGAAATTGAGGCTCCCCAAAGTAACCTGCACACAGTCATTGATCCAGATATGAAGTGTAACTCCTAGGCCTGGGTTCTTAACCTCCTATCCATGCTGCTACCTCTAGCAACATTCTTAACTTTTTGAGGAGAAATCTCAGTCTTAACCCTGTGGTGTAAGCTTTGGTCCAACTCAGACTTGGTCACCTAGTGTGCAAAGGTTTCCCATACTCTCATATAGCCCACAGGCCCTAGGAAAACCCCTGGCAATTGCACCCCCTTCACTACCCAGCCAGAAAAGCAGCAAATATGGCAGACCCACTCTCTACACAGCACATCCCTGAGGCTCAGACTGTCTGTGCACATGGCAGGGTGCTGAGGCTCAGGGAGGTAATGCCACTTGTCTCCTTCCCCCACAGAGAATTGGTTGTGTGGAAAGGAACTTTCTCCACTGAGGTTGTAACTTTACCTTACAAGGGAGGCCCATATCTCACTTCTCTGAAATCCCCTAAACCAGAAAGAACCAAACCAACTGCGATTTGATTCTGACTCAGCAACCCCCATTGGGTGTCCAGGGCTATAAATCTTTGTGGAAGTAGATTGCCTCATCTTCCTCCTGTGGAGCAGCTGGTAGGTCTGAACCACTGACCTTCTGGTTAGCAGCCAAATGTCTTATCCACTACACCACCAGAGTTCCTTCTGAAATCCCCCAATCACCCCTTTTCCAGAGCTAGACCCTTTCCTTCTTCCAAGGTTTCTCCAGAACACTTGGACCCCTCCTGCAGATACCTCAAACACACTTGTCCACAGAAGACCTCCTCAAGTCTTCTCCTCTTGTGCTCTCATTGCAGTCACAGGTTCCCCCACCCAGTGCCCAGGCCAGAAACCTCATTGTTGCCCTGGACTCTTCCTTTACTTGCATCCTACAGGCCAGCCAACCCCAGGACCTGCCCATGCTACCTCCTGACTATCTCTCCATCTGGTCACTTCTCTGCACACCCACTGCCAGCATCCTGGCCAGGCCTCCCTAGTCCCTTATTGGATGATGGCTACTGTTCCTCCCTGATCTTCCTGCCTCTGGACCCACACCCTCCATCCTATCTTCCCTAAGTCTGTTTCCTCATCTAGAAAGGGGGACTGACAAACCTTTCCCCAAAATTTTATTCTGCAAATTAAATGAACTAAAACTTAGAGAGTGGGTGGTAGGATGTAGGTGCTCAAAATGCTCCTTTTTTGCCCTTTCCTCCACAGGTCCTGGACTAGCGTTCCTGGCGTACCCAGAGGCAGTGACCCAGTTGCCCATCTCACCCCTCTGGGCCATCCTCTTCTTCTCCATGCTGCTGATGTTGGGCATTGACAGCCAGGTGAGGACCCTGCCTGATACCTGAGGGAGCCCTCCCCTCAGCCTCCTCTGTCTGGGAGCTAGCAGATTGAAGAGGCCTTAGGGAACTCTGGTGGCATAGTGCCTAAGGCATTTGACTGCTAACCAGAAGCCTGGCAGTTCAAACCCACCAGCCACTCCTTGGAAGGAAGATTGGGCAATCTACTTCTGTAGGATACCTCCTCGGAAACCCAAGGAGAGGTCGCCATGAGTTGGATATGACTCAATGGCAGTGAGTTTGGTTTTTTTCTGGCTTAGGCCCCTAAGATGGCCAAATGTTTCAGACCATTAGAATGTTACACCACATGAAATTTCAGAGAATAATAGCTCAGCCACAGTCCCCATTTCCAGATGAGAAAACTTATGTACAGAGGAAAAGGGTCTTTTTTGAGGTCACAGCCAAGTCAGAGGCAGCATTAGGCATGGATCTTGGGGTTCTCTTACCCCTGCTGTCCACACACTGCCAGATCTCTTCTATCTTCCCCTGGAGGGACATGTTTTGGGTGGGGTAGGGCTTGGAGCTGTTCCAATTCTTGATCTCTTTTCACCCCTGAAGTTCTGCACTGTGGAGGGCTTCATCACAGCCCTGGTGGACGAATACCCCAGGCTCCTTCGCAACCGTAGGGAGCTCTTCATTGCTGCTGTCTGTGTCATCTCCTACCTGATTGGCCTCTCTAACATCACCCAGGTAAGCACAGTCAGCACCTGGTACACCCCTGATATTGCCCTGGGGCAATCTCTAGATCTTTTTTTCCCTAGCTCTGTCCTATCAAGGCCTAGGTATGCAGCAGTGAAACAGACAGGGTCCCAGGCTGGCAGGAGGCACAGACATTGAGCTAAAATTGTAGTTCAGAGGTAGGGAATGTAGCACCTAAGTCAGCCTGAGGCATCAGGGAGTGCTTCCTGGAAGAAGGAATGCAGGAACTGAGATGTGAAAGTCTCAGAATTACCCAGGGAGTCACATTGAAGTTGGGACTTGGATGTTGGCACTGTCTATACCTTTTATTCCCACTTTGCTTTTACTATCAATATTCGTGATCGCCAGGCCCTGAGGATATACTGATAGATAAGAAATGGTTTCTGCATTCAAAGGTTTCCTAGTCCAGTCAGAAGAGAGAGAAATAACTTATGGATTGTACAACAAATGTAAATGACTAAGATGCCATGAGCTCAGCTTTGTAGGTCTGATTTATGATCCACAAAACCAGCCCAGGTCCAAATACAGTTCTGATTTAGAGTTATTGAACATTCATTAATTCATTAATTCATTCAATAAGTAATTACTGAACACCTACTATGCATGGCATGATGCTGGATACTAGAAATTCAGCAATCAGCATTGACAGACATGGTATCTGTTTTCTCACAGCTTACCTATTGGTGGACAAGACTAATATACAAATTAGATCATTTCAGAGAGTGTTAAGTACCATGAAGAAAAGAGGACAGTGGGATAGAGAATGCCTGGTTGGAGCAGGAGGGACATGACTTTAGAAAGGGTAATCCTGGAAGTCTGTCGGAGGAGGTGACAGTGCTCTGATACTCAAATGATGAGGAAGAGCCAGTTAGGGGAAAGGTCTGGGAAGAAAGCACAGCAGGTGCGATGGAAGTGGTCAGTGTGAGGAGGAGAAAAGAGGGCAGTGTGGCTGTGTAGAGGGAGCAAGGAAGTGGACAGGGGATGAAGAATTGGTTCATACAGGACCTTGCAAGCCAAGGCATTTGGATTTTATTATCTATCTGTCTGTTTGCCTGTCTATCTATCATCTCTTCATCAATAAATTGTATTATTGTTTTATTTAAGACATTCAAAAGTTTTGAGCAAGAGAGATTCATGACTGATTTATGTTGTGGAAAGATAGCTCTGATGGCCATATCTAGGGATAAGAGTTTAGCCGCCATCAACTCCTCTGTCTGCCCTCCAGCCTTATCAGAAATGGGGAGTCTCTTCCACACAGATGTTTTCTTCTCAACCCCTAGAGAGTAAAAGCCTCTAACGGTAACAAAGTCCTGCATGATTCTTCTAATCTAACCTCAAGCCTTCTTGCTGCAATGTAGTCTAATCCCAATTTCGTGAGACTCCAAAGCCCATGTTGACTGTGAACTGAATGCACTGGACCCCGGGGGGAAGGGACCTTCTCTCACCACCTTTTCTCTTGCAGGGGGGCATCTATGTCTTCAAACTTTTTGATTACTACTCTGCGAGTGGCATGAGCCTGCTGTTCCTCGTGTTCTTTGAATGTGTCTCCATTTCCTGGTTTTACGGTGAGCACCAGTCTCTTCTCTCTTATTCATTCTTTCCACCCACCCATCCACCCTTCCATCATCATTCAAGAAATATAACTTGATTGCCAGCCTCTTCCACATATTATTCAGCCCTCACAATTCAATGAGATTGGCACAAGAGGTTTCCATGTTTAGAAGATACCATAAAAAGCTTGTTAAATAGATTCACTAACAATGGGAAGCAAAATTTCAAAAAAGGTTTGTTGAGGTTTTATCTAGACAAATGATGCCCAAACGATCTTTAAATGTTTAAAGTTATGTATTTAACAATGGCTAAGTGCTTGGCTGCTAACTGAAAGTTTGGCAGTTTGAACCCACAAAGGCTCCATAGGAGAAAGACTTGGGGATCCAATCCCATAAAGATTACAGCTCAGAAAACCTTATGAGGCAGTTCTACTCTGTCCCATACAGTTACTGTGAGTTGAAAATCAACTCAATGGCACTTAATAACAACATTTAATAGATATTTAAGCTATAATTAGAAGGATATCCTGTCTTAGAACAAAGAATCAAGGAAACATTAATTTTATTGATTTTGTGCCATGTTTTTCAACAAAACTGTAAAATAGTAAAAAGAGAGTCTTCACTGAATTTTTGAATGTCACAGTCAGACCATATTTTGAAATAAATTTTCTCTAGGGCCTCTGTCAGTCCTTGATATTCAATGTATCCTCTTTGATGCACCTGCTATCTCACCGTCCTTGAGAATTTTCCCTTCTTCACTCTCTGACTGGTGGGTTTTCAAGCAGTTCCCCAAAGTCACTCTCATGAACGTCATAAAAATCCTACATTTTCTCCAAGGTTTTCAGTTCTTCTTTGCAAGCTACTACAGTTGTTCATAGCATCAGATCAGTAAAGAAAAAGTGTCCCTCCCCAACAAAGTCTTTGAAGGAATGGCTGGGAACAATGTTGAGTGGAGAGGGACATTTGAGTGGGAACACATTTTGTGAGTGGTAGGTAGTTGCACATTAAGGTAACTTGCTTTCCTACATAATCCCCTTGCTGTGGGGATTTGGTTATTGAATACTTAGTTAATGTGAATATTAGTCACAGGTTATAAAGAAATTGAGGCTCATAGAGGTTAGCTGACTTGCCCATGGTCATACTTCAAGAAAGTAGCAGATCTGAGTTTTGAAAATGTAGTCTCCACAACTCAGCCATCCTTCCTGCTCTCATTCTGAATGTCACAGGTGTCAACCGATTCTATGACAACATCCAAGAGATGGTTGGCTCCAGGCCCTGCATCTGGTGGAAACTCTGCTGGTCCTTCTTCACCCCAATCATTGTGGCGGTAAGGGCAAGGCCCTCTTAGGATGAGGCTACACCAGGCCCTGGGGTGACTCAGGTCCAGGGAGAAAGTTCTGAAGGCAAAGGCAGGTGGAAGAAGTACCAGAGCCCCCCTGTTCTCTAGTAATACTACACTCTGCCATTTGTTGAGCATCTACTCTGTGCCCTGGATGGTACCAGACATATTGCATTATCCTTACAAACCCCAAAAACTAAGCATTGTTGTCCCTACTTCACTGCAGAGGAAACTGGAGCTCGCCCAGCTAGCATCACCTAGCTGGTGAGTGACAAAGCTAGAATTCAAACCAGGTATGCCTAGTCTCACTTTGAGGCATCTCATTCTCAGTGTCCCTCATTCCCTCCCACAAGTGGGAGCTGAGACATGGGCAGTCCTGGAAGCAGGCCACCCAAGGTCCCTTCAGTGGAGGCTTCGCTACTGCAAATATTGTGCCCTGCATAGGGGCATCCAGCCCATGGGGGAGTGGGGTTGACATCCAACCCTTGTTCTGTTTGTGAAGCTGGTTAACTTGGAGGAATAACCTTTTGCTATTGGTCTTTCCAGAGAAGGTACCTTTTTCTATTGTTCTTCCCAGATGGGTGCCCTTTTCTATTGGTCCTCCAACAGGGGGCATCTTTTTCTGTTGGTCCTCCTGAAGGGGGTATCTTTTTCTATTGGCCATCCCACAGGGGGCATCTTTTTCTGTTGGTCCTCTCAGAGGGGGTACCTTTTCTACTGGTCCTCCAAGAGAGGACATCTTTTTCTATCAGTACTCCTGGAGGATGTACCCTTTTCTATTGGTCATCCAAGAAGGGGTGCCCCTTTCTCTTGGTTCTCCCACATCGGGCACCTTGTTCTATTGGTCTTCTCATAAGGGGTGCCCTTTTCTATAGGTCATCCAAGGGGGGTGGTTTTTTTCTATTGGTCCTCTCAAAGGGGATATCCTTTTCTATTGGTCCTCTCATGGGGGCCATCTTTTTCTATTGGTCCTCTCACAGGGGGCATCTTTCCCTAGTGGTCCTCCAGGAGGGGGTATGTTTTTCATTCATCCTCTCACAAGGGGCATTTTTTTCTATTGGACATCCCAGAGGGGTTGCCCATTTCTGTTCATCCTGTCAGGAGGAGTGTCCTTTTCTATTGGTCCTCCCACAGGGGCGTCTTTTTCTCTTATGCACAAAGACACCCCATGTACTAGCAATAGCCTTGGGTGAGGAATTCCCCAAGAGAATGGGCCCTTGTGAGAGTCATCCTTGAGGTCAGCCTTGGAAGACATTGGGCCTCTTGGCTTCAGGATTTCATGGAGGTGCCTTGGTTGTCCAGTCTGGTGACTGACTACCCCTCAACCCCATTTCCATTTCCTCTCTTCTATCCCACAGGGTGTGTTCATTTTCAGTGCTGTGCAGATGACTCCTCTCACCATGGGAAGCTATGTTTTCCCCAAGTGGGGCCAGGGTGTGGGATGGCTCATGGCCTTGTCTTCCATGGTCCTCATCCCTGGGTACATGGCTTACATGTTCCTCACCTTAAAGGGATCCCTGAAACAGGTAAGTCCCTCTTCCATCCTCCAGAGCTTTCTGTCATTCACATTGCTAGGCTTCTTCCTCACTGTGCTGGGCACAGCTCCTATGCTCACTCTTGGAGGTCACAGTCTAGTTGAGGTAACAGACAAATCGATATCGAATAACAATAGAATGTTAGAGGTGTCATAATGGGGGTAAGCTAGAGCGCTATGGAAGCCAGTAAAAGGAGCCTTCAGCCCTATCTGGGTTAGGAGACATTGAGAAGGCTTCCTAGAGGAAGAGATAGCTAAGGAAAGATCTGAGGATGGACCAGAGTTAAATGTGGAAGCAGAAGGAATGTTCCTGGAAGAAAGAAGATCGTGTGCAAAGGTCCAGAGGTATAAACTGCATTTGGTGAACTGAGGGGAGATGAACGTGGCTGGAGGTGAGAGTGAGGAGGGTGTAGGAGTGATAAGAGATGAGGTTAGGAATGTTAGAAGCTCAATTCAGATCCTGAAGATCTTTGAAAATCAGAATAAGAATGTTCCTGAGGACAATGGGGAACCACTGAAAGATTTTAAGCAGAAGGTTTATCGGGATCAGATTGTAGAGAATTTACTCTAGATCTCATTTGCGGCCCTGAAAAAGAGAAGAATGGCCTTGCTCACAGGAAAGGCAAAGCCTGCCCCAGCATGGGCCCTCCAAACACATGCTAAGTCCACATTGTTGTTGTTGTTGTTATGTGATATCGAGTCAGACCCATCTCATAGTGACCCCACCTTGGGTTTTTGGGGTAGTATCACTATAGAAGTAGATTGCCCCATCTTCCTTCTGAGGAGTGGCTGGTGGGTTTGAACCACCAGCCTTCTGGTTAGCAGTCAAGTGCCTTGGGCACTATGCTGCCAGAGTGCCACATTGGCTTGTTGTTAATTGCACTCAAGTCTTGAATGAAATAAATTAGTGCTGGAGGTACCCAAGTAAAAGAGGACTATTGGGGAAGTGTAGGCTGAGAAGATTTCACTGAGGAAGGCCCATATCTGTGCTTCTCCACCTTATTTCCCACCAAGATGTATCTGACAGACCTACGCAGAGTCAGCAGCGGGAGCTCTAGTGTCTGTTGCATGGGAAAGGTGGGCTGTGGGTGTGTGTTGAACCTGTGGCTTCCTTCACGGGTGGAAGGGAAGCTGCTTTCCCAATTCACACAGAAAGTTATTTACAGAGAGCTAGTAACCCTCTCTTCCAACTCCAGGCCTAAAGCTTTCTGTTTTCCAAGATCTGCTGCTGAGCCTCAAAAGGCAGTCAGGTCTTAGAGTGGCTGGGGATGGAAGCTTTGTAGAAGAGCACACAACCTGTGCAAAGGTTGGTGGGAAAGGGCAGACATATTTGAGGACAGCACATTATCTGATGAGGCAGGAAGCAAAGGATGTATATATATTGAATGTTCTCATCCATTCAGTAAATATGGATTGAGTACGTACTTTGTGTGTTGTTTGCTGGGGACACGGTCATGAACACACTAGGCAAAAAGCCCACCTTCATGAAATTTACGTTCTAGTAGAGAAAGATCAACAATTAACAAAATAAAAACATTAGATGGAGAAAATAAAGCAGGAAGAAGGTTTAGGGGGCAAGGTGGGGCCTAACTGAGAAAGTAACATTTGAACAAAGACAGAAGAAAGTAGAGAGTGAGGTATGTAACTATCTGAAGGAAGGATGTGGCAGGCTGAGGGCCCAACAAATGCAAAAGCCCAGAGGCAGGAGCATGCCTGGTGTATTTGAGGAGCAATGTGGAGGCCAGTGTAGCTGTAGTAGAGTGAAGTGGAGGGAAGGAGGACATTGAGTTCTGACAGGTGACGGGGCCAGATCATGTAGGGCCTAGTAGGACTTTGATATTTATAACTGGTGAAAATGGGAGCCATTGTTGGGTCCTAAGAAGTAGAAGGACATGATCTGATGTTGGTTTTAACAGAGCTGCTGCATTGAGAGTAGAAGAAGGGGTGAATGGCAAGAATGGAAGCAAGGGTGGGGCAGTTATTCTGCAGTAATCAGAGAGGAGATGTAGCATGGACTGGGAGGGAGAGTGGAGGGTGTGGAGATGTGGCCAGAGTCCTGGTGTCATGTGAAGGCAAAGCAGACAGGTTGACCTTGAAGGACAGAACTGCCAGTTCTCACTTTTCCAGCCCGAATTTTTCTCCCACATGCCCATAGCGCATCCAGGTCATGATCCAGCCCAGTGAAGACATCATGCGCCCTGAGAATGGTCCAGAGCAGCCCCAGGCCAGTGGCTCAGCCAGCAAAGAGGCTTACATCTAGGGGTGTGGGGTCATGTGGACCTGACACTCTCACCAACCCCCATCTGGCTGAGCAGGACAACCACTTGATGTCTGAAGATACCATCTATCTCAACCTACCTCAAGTGGCAAATCCAGACACCATCACCATGCAGAGAGGGGAGGTGGGGGACCGTCAAGCCCCTGGGTGGGCCCCACAGTGGGCAAAGATTCTGGTGACTTCGGCAGCCTGCTGGCTGGTAACCTTTTAAATCCAGGCCCCAGAAGCATCCAGAAGTCTGAGTGTGTAACTGCCATGATAGGTCATTTCCATTCCACCAGCGAGTGCCGCAATGCGGTCTTCACTCCTGATTTTTAGTCATATTCCTGACTGTTCTCTTAATACTGAAACCCTTGACTGTTATCTCGGACTTTGCAGGAGTTGGGTCCTGTCAGAACGCTGCTTCATACCCATAAAAAGGGCATTTTGTACAATGGGCATTTCCAGGGAGAGCTCACTCTAAGTAACAGGGAGTCAGCATAACTCTTACTTTTACTTTTGGGGTTTATCCTTCCCAAGGCAGCTCAACACAACAACCCCCAAAAGACGTCAGTCCTTATTCCCAGGTCTGCCTCCCAAGCAATCTGCACAGCTTCGTTCTTTCCCTGCCACCTAACTGAGCCGGCATCGCTGCAGCTAAGCTTCCCTGTAGGTGCCTCACCGGGCCAGACTAATTGGAACTGGCCCAACAGCAATCATTCCTGAGGGGTCTTGCACGCTGGAAAATGGCCATAAGCACAATTGATGTTTTTATTGCCATCCTAGGGGGCCTAAGATTCAGCTGGAGGCTTCCTAATCAGGGCCTCCACTTTCTCTTAAGCAGTCCAGTTTTACAGAGCACAAAACAGCTGCAGAGGAAACCAAGTTGAAAGGTCTATCCAAAAGTTGAGACAGAGCCAATTATCTTTTGTCTCCTTTAACTATTTCCCTTACCACCACCCTGTTTCAAGCTGCTGCCTCCATACCTTCCCTGAAATTCCTCAGCAGAAATCTCCTCCTCACTGCCACTAAAATCAACCCAGCCCACAACCTGAGGAGCTAGTGTTAATCCAGAGACCTCCCATCCCAAAGTGCTTCCGAGATTAAAACTGCTTCACTGGGGAGCAGTGTTTGTTCCTTTCCAGAACTGGGCTCCGTGGAGGTAGTGATGGCAGCAAATCAAGTGAAGGCAGTTCATGCAAGCTCCAGGAACTCAGCATTTCCCATTTGCCAGGAGGATGGGTTCCCATGTAGCAAATTGTATGTTGTGCCCCGTAGCTCCTTAGCTAGTTTGCTCACAAACTGTGTTTTATGACTAATCCTTAATAACTATGGTAAATAACTGTGACTGTGGGTTTTTTAAATCTCTTGTCATTCTCATCCAAAAGGATGAGAACCAGCATACCAGTTCTTGCAATAAGGTATTATCCTCAGAATATTAAGCACATTATTGTAGAGAAGAAAAAAAAAAACAGTACATGTATACATATAGAAATGCACATACACGCACATTTATTCTCAAGCGTGGCACATAGGGTCTCCTTTGATATTGTGTAGGAAACCTAAACCTTTTCCTGAGGTCATCTGTAAAATATTCTCATTGCTAAGGCACCCCAAATGCCATCTGGTGGATCCTTTATCAAAATGCAGACTTGTAAAATCATAGGGTTTAGAATGAAAAGAAGACCTTCACTGTGCCCCATGGTCTGCCCCCATTACGTATGTGAATTCCTTTAGAAGAAGGGCAGGAAAACTTCTTTTTCTTTGTTCTTCAATGTGAAACTGAGACGAAGTTGTTCTAAGACAAACACAGTGTATCTCATGTTTGTAAGCAATTCTAAGTGAGATGTTTGGCAAGAAATCCCTTAACTGATTTCAACCCAAACTTACCTTCTACAGCACAATATTAACTGTTGTTCAATTACTGTGAGAACTGTGAATATGTGTATCTTTTTTAGTATTTGCCCTGGGCGGGGGGAAAGATATTGTATTATCATATATGCTTTTTTTTTTTTTTTTTGCAATAAGGATTTATTCTCAGAACACCAAGTAAATTTATCTCTATATAAAAATATATATGTAATATATACATATTCAAACTATATACAGAGCTTGTTTTAAAAATTACAGCATTATTTAGTAAAATTATCTGTTCTATGGACCAAATGTAAAATATTTATAAATGAAGATGCAATTTAAATGTCTATAAATGGTGTCATAACTAGAGCACGGGTGTTATGTAAGTTTCTAAGAATTTAGAGCAAAAATAATAAAGATTCTATGATATACAGTTTAAGACTTTCAGTTCTTTGGAGAGGGGACACATTGGTCTGTTTCATCAGAACAACAAAACATCCACTTTTTTTTTTTTTTTTTCCTAACAGGAAGAGAGAGCTTTGGGCTCAAAGATCTACCAAGATAGGCTGAGTTTCCCAAAATCTTGGGAATGAATAGGTCAAAAATGACTGAGCTGCACATTATTGTTGTTGCTGGCTGTTGTGCAGTTAGCTCCTGAGTCATGAAGACCTCATATACATCTGGATTGGACTGTTGTGCTCCATAGGGTTATCACTGGCTGATTTTCAGAAGTAAATCATCAGGCTTTTCTTCCTACTCTTCTCTTAGTCTGGCAGCTCTATTGAAACCTGTTCACATCATAGCAGCATGCAAGCCTCCGCTGACAGATGGGTGGTGGCTGTTCATGAGCTGTATTGACCAGGAATTGAACCAGTCTTCCACACAGGAGTTGAGAATTCAACCCTGAACCACCACTGCCCCTCATGAGCTACATAAAACCCAAACCCACTGCCGTAGGGTTGATTCCAACTCATAGCTATCCTGTAGGACAGTGTAGAATTGCTCCATAGGGTAAGGCTGTAAATATTTACAGAAGCAGACTGTCACATCTTTCTCCCACAGAGTGGCTGGTGGGTTTGAACAGCCAGCCTTACGGTTAGCTACTAAGTGTTTAACTATTGCACCACCATGTCTCTTTGGGCTACATAGTAACTAACTAACTCACTGCTGTTGAGTCGGATCCAACTCATAGCGACCCCTCCTTGAGTTTCCAAGGTGGTATCACTACGGAAGTAGATTGCCCAACCTTCCTTCCAAGGAGTGACTGGTGGGTTTGAACTGCCAACCTTCTGGTTAGCAGTCAAATGCCTTAGGCACTATGCCACCAGAGAGCTCCCTTGGGCCACATAAGGAAGGTGAAGTTGGCTGATTGCTTTCACTGTGCTTAAAAAAAAAAAAAAAAAGTGAACAGCTAAAGGTCTAAAACTAAGAGAAAAGGAACACATTTAGTTAACAACACTCATGTAATTCAAGCAGTCCTCAAAATATTAATTTTTAAAATATCTTATTTAGAAAAATTTGAACTTTACAGAGAAGTTGTAGGAATGTTCTTTGGACACTTGCATATCCTTCACCCAGATCCACCAATTCTTGACATATTGCCATGTTTGTTTTAACTCTCTCTGTGTCAATCATGGTTTAATCTGAGAAGCTGACCACTGTGAGTGTTCTAGAATAAGAGATTTATTTTTATAGGGATAAGATCTTATACCATTGTGAGAGAATATGGGAAGGTAGGGTCCCAAAGGGGAATCTGGAGGATCAGAGCAAAGACATTAATCCACCCTCTTGAAGCACTGGTGCTGGTGGATAAACTAGAGCTCGCAGAATGTGGGACTCAATATACTGGGCACATCTGGCTGCCTGACCAGGACTGCTAGAGAAGCTGGGGAGCGGGGGGGACTCAGGCTTCAGGTGTGTAACCTGTGCAGTCACACAGGGCCCTGTGCTTAGAAGGGTCCTGTGCTTGATTTCATGCTCTGTGTCACCATCTTGAAATTCTTGAAAATTTTATCTTTTAATCTTGTGTTTTGTAAATGAAGTTTGGTAAGAAAATGGAGCATGTGTGTGAGCAGAGAAGACATAAGTGTTATATGTGCCCACTGCAGTTTTGGGGATCCCCTTTTGCATATAGCATTTATGATGCTTCATGAGCAGAGCGTAGACCCTGTGTGGTGTAAACAGTTAACACACTTGGCTGCTAGCTGAAAGGTTTCAGTCCATTCGGAGGTACCTTGGAAGAAAGGCCTGGTAATCTATCTCCAAAAAATCAGTCATCAAAGACCCTGTGGAGCACAGTTCTATTCTGACACACATGGAATCACCATGAGCAGGGATCAACTTAATGGCAACTTTTTTTTTTTTTTTTTTTAAATAGGCACAGCATTCTATTATGGTGTGTTATGTCTGCAATTGAATAAGGTATAGGGAAGGGAGGTTGGGGTGGCAGAGAGTGGAAAAGCATGCCAGCAGCTCCAAGAAGTTACCCTTTCCCTTTGAATCTGAACTTGCTTTGAACTCAGAAAGAAGACAATGGCTTTCTAGAAAGCACCAACAAGCAAGGAACCCTACCATACCCTTTCTTACTCACCTTACTTCCTTTGATTAGCCAACCACTTTGAAAATGATGGCATAGAAGGAAAGAAAAGATGAGGCAGGCAACCCATAGTTCCTTTTGCTTTCAGTCCTGGCCTACATACCAGTTAGCTGAAGGTAGAGAGTGTTGGTAGAATGTGCATACACATATCAAGAATTGAAACACAGAGTTCCGGCAAGATGGCAGACTAGGCAGAAGGATTGCACAGACCCTCTTCAACAAAGAAAAGGGAAACCAATTAACACAGACACAGAAGATAATCGTGGACCCCTG